AGTCAGAATCTACTGTTAAACTGCTTTTGAAGGCATACTTGTCAGAGTACAGATTTTGGCCTATCACGTCTCACAAAATCTCAGCACCACAATATTTCATTTGAAGCTCCACTGACACCTAAACAACCAATAAATAGGTTTGTAGGCCATCTTTCACCAACAAGACAACCTCTGAAGGGGATTTCTAAAGAAAAACCTAATTACATCCATTCAACAACTCTCTCTGCAACTGGAATACTTTGAGAAAGAAGGAGTAAATTGATCTCTACATTGTTTGCCCCCATTCTAGCTCTAGTGATGTTTAGCTCCTTGTCTAGAACATGCATGGTTATTAAACATGATAGGCAAGCAATTGTCCAGAATCAGTCAACTCTTTTCCAAGTATAATTTTATGAGTTAAACAAACTCCATATTTAAAGCATTAGTTTTTACTGATTTTTATCACTCCCAGGAAACTGGAGAAAGACAGTCTAATCCACAGACACTTTCAAGTGCACAATGAAAACCAGAAATAAGTTACAGATATATAGCACACAATTCTTCTCAGTGCATGGCAGGTACCTAATCTTTGGTTACTAAAAGAACCTGAAGCACAGCTCTAAACTTCAGCAAACACTGTATATAGAAAAGAATGGTATATAGAAAAGTTTATCAACAAAACTTCACGGAATTTTCACTGGAGAATTAATCTAGAACGTTTTTTATTGTGCTACCTACTCAGCTCACAAAACATTAAATCTAAAAGGGTGAAAATTTCCCTATTCAAAAATTTCAACTAAAATTACAAGATAACATACTGGACTTGAGCTGCTGTGGTCCCACATAACTAGCACAATTTCCATTGTAGGAAACATACACACTAACTTAGGAAAAACTAAAACTATTCTGAAACACATAATTACTTGATTTTAAATCAAACAGACCAAAAGTCTCACATCTAAGGACTCTTTCTGTCCTATCCATCTAGGATAAGAAGTCATAATCCAGCAAAGTTCTCTTTTACATGCAAATTGGATTAAAAGATGTTCATGGGAAAAGAAGTCGGGCAGTTGGGTTTTGCTTGTTCTGTTGTTGTTCATGTTTTGTTGTTTTGGTTTTTTTTTTTTTTTTAAGTCTGTGTTGGTGACACTTTATAGACCATAGCAGCTTACTATACTAAAAAGTAGTAACTAATTGATACAGCTCCATTTTGTTCAAAATACCGTATGGAACAGACGGTCTTAAGTTCAGCACCCCATCTGTGAAAGTCAAGTATTTACTAAATCACTGAAATCCACAGAATTGCTTTTGAAATAAGCACCTACTCTCACCAGTATCTGTAGGTGCAGAACTTAAATACTGTATTGGAATATTAACAGTAACATTAAAAATCACACCACCAACCAACCAAAAAACCCCCCAAACCTAACCCAATCAAAGAGCTAATCAAGTTTTAGAGATTTTTAAGTCTTATCAAAAAGAGTATAATTAATCAAAATATTTTAATAACATCTCAACTAAGGTGCAATAGCTGCAAAAATTAAAATATGATTAGACAACAGTTACAGCTAGTAGACGTAACAGGCAATCATTACTGTTTCTACAAATTTAATTTGTGGAACCATTACAATAGTGAGGCTTCCAAGTCAGTCATTCAAGGCCTCATTTAACATAGCTTTACAGCAGTTTCACAACATACATTACAGAAAAAAAAAATAAAAATATATAACCTGGATTTATGGAACCATCTTCCACAAACTGAAAGCCAAATCCATTCACCTCCTGAATTCTGTGTATCTTCAGCAAATTCACATTTTTACTACATAACATAAAGTTATGTAGCAAAAATGTGATTTTTTACTACTAAGTTATGTAGTACATAACTGAAAGTTAACTTCAGCCACTAGACAGTGAAAGCAGTTAGCTCAAATTAAATTATTTCACCGTTGTTTGAAATGGATCACTGACAAGGCCCTTTTGTCTCTAGAATCAACTGTTCATAGCTAAATATAAACCACTTAACTGCACTGTTTTAAAGATCTCAATATATATTCATGTCAGATGTAAGCAAGTCTACGCGTTCATAAAGGAAAGTCAGACTCCCCATTCTTTTAAGGCAGGTGGCACATGTAGATAGCATCTGAACAGCAAGTGGGACACATCTTGATGTACAGGAGATACTCATAATGACAACCCATGTCAAGAAAGATCAGCATTCAGCCTTCCATCATAAAATCACCAACCTCTGAAGAGCAGTAAGAGAAGGAACACAAGAAAAACAACAAACCAAAAAAATTCTCTCACACCTGTCATGAGAAACAAGCTATCTAACCACACAACAGGAAGCAACTTTCTGTAAGAGCATTCTCTTTCGGTTCAGCTTCAATGAACAGCTTTCGAAGATGGTTTCCTAAACAAGGTGGTGAAATGGGAATAAGCAACCAAGAAAAAAAAATAACAAGGCAAAACAACAAAAAAACAAAAGTTGAACCTTCCAAAAACGGAACAAAAAAAGAAGAAAGGAGGCAAGAAAAAAATAAGGTGTTTTGCTTCAGTAAATAGAACCCTTGTAAAAATATTTGATTTGTCAAACATTAACATGCAGCTCTTGCATCAGCTATTGGTTTACAGATCTGAACATGTCAAAAAGTGCAGTCTTGCAACAGATAGCAAGAAAAGATACTGGGTAAGAAGAGGATGAAAGAATACTTGAACTGAGAAAATACAAAGTACTGAATAAGAACGTACTAAATGGTTATTATCTTTAGGACTGTATGTTACTCGGTAATTTCATAAATATTTAGAACTATAGCAAGTCATTATTTACTTGATTAAAGATCTACTGAAAAGCATGCCCACTTTAAAAAAAATAGTTAATTTCTAACTTTTTCCAGCAAGCTGATCACTGAGACTGCATTTATTGCAGTCTTCCTTTTCCTCAGTTTCATTTGCCAAACAGTTCTTGAAAAGAAGGTTTTACTAGTCTCAGGTTTTTAATTCAATGGAATACAGCCTAGCATAACTCACAATGGCAAAAAAACTGGAGGGTCTTCACTAAGTGAAGATGTAGAGATTTGGCAAGTTCTTCAACTACATCTGCTCCTTTTGGGATTTCCAGGCCCACAATATTGACTTTTAATTAAATCAACACAACCAAGACAGAAAGAAAAACCTTCTGAGTGTCACAAAAAAAAAATACAATGCAAGGTAAAGATGCTACAGACAAGAAACTTCAGGAAGATGATGAAATAGAGACAAATTTCACAGAATAAAATCTCGCTCTAGCAACAAAACTGCAATGCAACAGAGTTAAACTGTGTTGTGGATGGCTTATTTTTATTCTATTTTGTTCTTCAGCCCAAGAATTGGTTTAAGTATCTGAAGGCCTATTCTGAGGGAGGAGCTAAATACTTCAATGCATTTCACATTGTTAGTATGTGAGCATAACTTCAAAATGCAGTAGTTACCACAATAAACGACAACTACAACAGATAAGCTATTCTAGTTTAGGTAATATTGCTTTCAGACTGAAAAAAAAAAAAAAAACAAAAAACAAAACAACCCAGTTGCCTGCTGCAGGAATTTACTGATGTACCAGGCTATAGACCTTTGATCTGACTTTTCCATCTAGAATTAAAACAGTTGCCCCAGAAGCCATGACGTAGATACACATTCCAAAATGATGCTGTAATTTGGATGACTTCTTTTAAGTTTTATATTGTTGTAAACTCTTTCTATATATTATTTTCTCCATAATAAATGTCTGCTAATCAGTGCTTATTAACGGGGGATGGAAAAACCATCAGACAGAAGTATTCATATACAGTATTTAATATATACAGTATTTAATTCGCATATTTCTATCTCGGTAGAAGCTGCAAAACTGTGTCATTCCAACGCTTCTCCACTAGAAGCTTCTACAGCAAAGCAGACAAAAGACAACATAGCTAGGCCATTTGTTACTTAAGAGCAGCGCTCAGAAACTATGGCTATCCATGTGTATAAGTAAAGATCATATCTTTAAGTATGATCCTTGAAAAATTAAACACTTAGAATTACAGCAGCATGTCTAGAAAGCAAATATAAAGCATCATGTCTTCACACCTTCATGACTCACCCTTAATTTACAAGCTAGAAATAAAACCGTTTCATGGCAGATCACTTTAGATATGCTTGAACTACCTTCAAGAGTTTTGGTTTTACGTCACAAGCAGCAAAAAAATAAGACATATTTATCAAAGCCAGAAGGGGGTGCTCTGAAAAACTGACGTGGAGGGTACTGAACTAAGAGCATTTGCCTTGCACTAGTAAAGAGGTCAAAAGCATGCTGTCATGTTTTCATTTGGGAGCTCACTTAACTTCACATTACCATGCCTTTTATACAAAAAACCAAACAAATAAGCAATAACAACAACAAAAAAACCCCAAAATAAATAAAATCTGAAAGCACCCCTTTTAGGAGAAAGGAAATGCTTCAGTTTGTACTATTGTCATCACAAGGGCAAATTAATTTGTGACAGAAAGCTATCAAGACGAAGACCTGACAAGTGTAAATTCCGGTTTTGTATTCCATGTTTTGCAAGCTTTTAAGACACTAACAAGGAGATACAGGAAATGCAAAAAAGCCAAACCGCCTATTTTACGGGTTTTACCTACACAATGCCTATTCTGACGTAACTAGTTCAGATCTTTTTAATGTGATTGTCCAGAGCTGACCGCTTATACCGAATTGTCCTGAAACGAAAGAAAAGGCCCTAGTTCATTCTGCCAAGTGTAACACAGCATTCTTATCTCTGCCAGCACTTTGGTGCATCAGCCGCCCCCCACCCCACACCAGAAAAAGATACGCACATTCCAATCAAGCCTCTCTCAGCGGGGCTCACCCAGTTCCCCCCCTCCTTCCCTCCCTTCCTCCCTCGCCCCAGGCCTTGCCAGGTTCCCAAATCACCTCCGATTTTAGGTTGCATTTTCTTGTAAACAGCAAAACGACAGGAGAAAGCGTCCAAAGCGAGGATCCTTACCCTTGAAATCCCGCCATGCTCGCAAATAAGGAGGGTGAATTGTTTCTCCTCTCGTGTTTTTTGGGGGGAATTTTTTTTTTGGTTTTTTTTTTTGGCCTTTTTTTTTTGGATGGGCGATGTAGGGGGAGGGGGGAAGAAACAAAAGCCTACACGGAGGAGCGGCTAAGCAGCAGAGGCTGAGGGAGAAGGCGGAGACCCTGCTGGAGGAGCAGGGCGAGCGTCAGCCATGTTGTGTGTGTGCGTGTGTGTTGGTCCAGTATTTACAAACCTGCAGCTGCAGCAGCGCTGGGAGCCCGGGAGAGAGAGGAGCAGGCAGGGAAGGAAGGGAGGAGGGAGGAAAGGAGCGAGGGAGGAGGGGAAAGCGGCGCGGCAGACAAAGGATCGCGGCAGCGCGGAGCGAGCGGGGCGCGCACACACCGCGCCGGCGCTGCCTCCCGCGGCCCCGGCTCCCCCGCCGCCCTCACGCCCCCCTCGTCCGCCTTCCCGCCTCCACCTCCCCCGGGAAAGGCTTCTCCGCCAGCAGCCCCTCAGCGGGCCCCAGCCCGCACACAATAGCTCCGCAACGGGGAGAGGGGGAGGGCACCGCTCCCCTGCGGGCGGTGGATGCGGCGCGGGGCCGTGCCGGGGGAGGGCGGCAGAGCCCCGGAGCCCGGAAGGGCGGGGGGGAGGGTTGCCAAGCAGCCAGGGAGCTTGCGGGGAAAGGGAGAACAGAGACGACACCTCCAGACCGGAGCCTCCGCGGCCCCGATGCCGCCCGCGGCTTCCGGGCGGGGAGGGCGGGGGATCCACGATGAGAGGCCCGAGGGAGGCGAGGCGCGGCCGGCCTGGGAGCGCCGGTCCCCGCACAGCGACTCCCTCCGGCTCTGCCCGGTACTGGGCCGGGCCAGGCCAAGGGCGGCGCGACGGGCTGCGCTCCCCCCGTCCCCTCCCTCGCCCCGGTCGCTCACCTGCCGGCGGGGCGGGCGCCCGGGGGTGCCAGGGCTGCCGCTCAGCCCCTCCCAGCCGGGCCGCTCAGCTTCTCTGCGGCGGCGGCGGCGGCGGCAGCAGCGGCGGCGGGCACGGCCGCTCCCCTCGTCTCGCTTGTCCCCCTCCGCCGCCGCTGCCTCCAACTCGCCTCTGCCACATTTGGATCCCCCTCTCCCTACGCCAGCTCCGCCGCCAGGATAGAGGCCTCCTCACCTTCCTGCCAAATAGTGAGCCACCCGCATCGCGCCGTTCAAAACACAGGGCCGGGGCCCGCCCTCCGCCTCCCCGCGCCGGCCCCCCCTGCCGGCGCGCAGGCGCACTGCGCCGCCCCGCTGCGGCGGGCGCGGGGCCGCCCCGCCCGCCCGCCCGTGGGCGGCAGCGCGGCCTGAGGGGCGCGGCGGGAGCAGGGGCGGCGCGGCGGGACTGCCCCGGCCGCCGCCTGCCCTCCGCCGGGTGTGCGCAGCGGTCACCGAGCCGGGTGTGCGCAGCGGGGCACCGAGCCGGGTGTGCACAGCGGTCACCGAGCCGGGTGTGCGCAGCGGGTCACCGAGCCGGGTGTGCACAGCGGTCACCGAGCCGGGTGTGCGCAGCGGTCACGGAGCCAGCCCTGCATGTCCTGTGTGCTGGCCCGCAAGTCCCTCTCTCAGCCCCGCACGGAGTCACGCAGTCTGCCTAAGAGCGTTGTCCAAACGCTTCTTGAATTCTGTCGGGTTTGGTGTTGGAGAAGGTCAAGAGTGTAGTGCAGCAGCCAGAAGGCTGAGTATTTATAAATAATACAAGTAAACAACTGCATTTTGTATGAAATTTGCTTCTCATTTCAAGAGAGGCAACATTACTGGGAGAAATACTCAAAACCTAAACGTTTCCCTGAAAACATCTTTATCTATGCAATAATGGCATGAAAAAAGATAGGGAAGCCTTCAAAAATCCATGCTGAACAAAAGCAGTAATTACAAATTCTTACCCCCTCTGGAAGGGCTGTCCTGCATGCCCCTGGCAGACAGAGAGGCAGTACTGGAGAGAGCAGTAATGCAAAACCTGCAAGTAATCAAGAGTTGTTCACCAATTGACAGACTGCAGTTAAGTGTCATCTTTTCAACTGTTAACATTAGATACCAGGACACCTAGCAGAAAAGTAGTATGTTTCTTGGTCCTAATGGGGACTATTTTCTAATTCATGAAGCATGCATGATCTAGGTGGAGTGGAACACAAGGAAGAAATTTGGTGAGCCATACCAAAAATTTTCAGATGAAACTGTCTAAGGCAATAATTAGAGGGGGAAAATAGTAAAATCATATGGAAATGTACTGATGAAAATATTGTACAGTGTCATCAAATCCTAATTTGTCACTTTGGTAAATCATTAAAGGACAGACCTCTAATATCCATTCACACTGTCATGCTGACAGCAAAATGCTGACATCAGTAAGATTGTTACCCTCTGACAAAGTTGTCTAATAATGAAGGCAGGTGGATAGCTGATCTGCTGTAACAAATCATCAGACCGGTACCTTTTTCTGAAGCAAGGCTTGGCAAGAAATTAAGTCAGTTTGGAGAAGGGAAGATTTGGTTAAAGAACGGACATTTGGGATTTCTTAGTTCAACAGCAGCAAATGCGCAGGGTAGTATCCAGGTTCCTAAGTCATGCTTGCAGATCACATCATTCATGAATTCCATGCTTGTGATAGAAAATAAAATATGGGTATGTGAAAGTACAGACATACATAACTGCTTAAAACTCTTATTGGCGGAACAGGAGAAGAATCATTAGTTTCTCCTTTGTTGTTTTCACATCTCTTAATTTCATCAAAGGAACTGTGTTCCCAGTAATTCCTATGATAAAAGAGTCCTGAGGTTCTGAAACATTATTCATTTGCAATTTAAAGGAAGAAATTTCTGAGAAAGAGAGTGAGAAACAATGAAGTAGGGGACAAAGACTGGTAAAGATGAGGGTACAAGTTAATAATGCTGTACCATCTGAGTAGGATTGTAAAATCCATAGCTAGCTTTGCATATCATTGACATAAGCAATCATTGGTTAAATTTTCCTGAAATTAAAATAGAAATAGAGTCATAGAATCACGTGGCTAGGAAGGGACCTTCAAAATTCATGTAGTCCAATGCCCCTGCAATAAGCAGGGACATCTTCAACTAGAGGTTGCTTCTACTCAGGTTGCTCAGAGCCTTCCAGTCTGACCTTGAGTCTTTTCACTGATTGGGAATCTATCAACTCTCTGGGCAACCTGTGCCAGTGTTTCACCACCCTCATTGTAAAAAATTGCTTCCTACTATCTCTAAATCCCCACTCACTTAATATATAATCATTGCCCCTTGTTCAGCTGTTACAGCTATTGCTGAAAGGTCTGTCCCTGTTTTTCTTACAACCTTTGCTTGACTACTGAAAGGCCACTGTAGGGCCTCCCTAAGTGCCTTCTCTTCCTCAGGTTGAGCAATCCCAAATCTTTCAGCCTTCCTTCATAGCAGAGGTGCTTCCAGGTGGGCTCTCAGCAGAGCAGAGCAGAGCAGAGCAGAGCAGAGCAGAGGGGCAGAATCCCCTCCCTCCCCTGCTGCCCACGCTGCTCTGGATGCAGCCCAGGACACCTTTGGCATTCTGGGCTGGGAGTGCCCATGGCTGGGTCATGTCCAGCCTCTCACCCACAGCACCCCCAAGTCCTTCTCCGCAGGGCTGCTCTTTATCTGTTCATCCCCCAGCCTGGATTGATACTGCAAGTTTCCCTGACCCAGCTGCAGCACCTGGTCTTGTTAAACCTCATGAGATTCACATGAGCCCACTTGTTGAGCTTGTCCAGGTCCTTAAGTATCTTATTCCTTAATTGTGTAATATATGTTCTGGAATAATTGTGCTTATATAAAATATGCATGAAATAAATTGTGCTTGTACAAAAAATTCTTAAAGTTTTAAAACCACAAGCCACAGCTGGTGAAAGACTGAGAAACCACAGATGGCAGCAGAGAGAAAGACCTAATTTACAAACGGAAAAACATGGCTCCATGCAGAGATGGGCCCTTTCCCAGGACAATCCAGGAGACGCCCAAGCATAGTCAGAGTTGGGGTGTGCATTCCAATACCAGGTTCCCCTAGATCAGCATTCATCGCTTCCCAGAAACAGCTTTGTCCAGCCCAGCATACAGAAAAGGAGACCACATGAATATATGAAGCAATGAAAAGAATAGGAGCAACTCTGCCCCAGGCGAAAAAAACTGTATAAAACTAACTGGACAGAGACAACAGTTGTGAACAGAGAGGAAGTGAAGCTGTATGAAGCTGTAGAGTTTGGATCAGAGCTCACCCAGTGCTGATCCTAGGCTCAATGCTGTCCCTTTGACCGTGGCTATCGGGGACCGAATCTCGGTCGCAAAATAAAAATCTATTTTTTGATTATTAATTCGGCTTTATCATTTATTTCCTATAACAGTTGTGTCAGTTGCACCACTCAGCTTGGTGTTGCCTGCAGGTATGCTGAGGGTGCACTTGTTCTCACTGTCTGTGACATTGATGAAGACATTAAACAGTACTTCTCTGCCTACAGATCCTTGAGGGACACCACTTGTCACCAACCTCCATCTGGATACTGAGCTGCTGAACACTATTCTGTGGATGCAAGCATCCCACCAGTTCCTCATCTGCTGAACAGTCCACCCATCAAATCATGCATGAATACTTAGATCTGAATATATGGTGTGGGATGTACTCCATCACGGAACAATATTAACAGCTAGTTAGTATCCTAGCTAGTTAATAACACAAGAATAGTAACAGCTTCAGTAGTGGCTGTGGTGCTATTTTTCTGAAAGGATTTAATGGTACTAGGATGTATTTGTTCTTTTGAGCTGTCATTGACTGTACCAGGATGCTCTGCCTAAGTGGGGATAAACAGCTCAAACTTTACTGTTTGTAAAAGTTATCAGTGATAGATAGAGAAAGGGTTCATGCTGCTTTTGTTTTGAAGAATACTGAAGCCAGCCTGAAGCAAACATTCTGAGAATGTGAAAAACAGTGTTCTGACAACAACTGGCATTACTGAGGAGGCTGCAGACAAAGATCCTGATAAAGAAACCAGCAAGTGATTATACTGTAATAGATTTAAAGGTGCTGAGTTGACATAGCTGGCCTAGAAACGTATTTTGCAGTCAACGACTTTATACTGTAAAAACCCAGTCCCTCTTCTTCCAGGAGGGACTTGCAACACACTCCTTCTAGGAGTCCATTTGGAGATTCCTCCCTTTAATGCTCATGCGCCGCAGGGTTACTT